GTTTTAATTTCAATGGTTTAGATTATTTAGTGTTTATTTTAATGAGTGGTTTAGATTGTTTCTTGTAACCTATAAATACCCTACTTGTATTTGAGTTTTATCATCCAACAATCAAAGCTTAATTATAAGCATTTGAAAGCTTTCTTAAGAGTTCTTCCCTTTTGCAATTTTGTGAGATTATTCTAAAGAGAGTTTTTTTTTTTGGATCAATTAGAGTTTTTACTCTATTTTGATTCAACAAAATATAACTTCTCAAAAAGAAGATTATTCAAAAGTTTAAAAAAATAGCGTCGCCCGGACTTAAACCAGAGACCTTCAGTGTGTTAAACTGACGTGGTAACCAACTACACCACGACACCTCGCTGTTCATGTCTAATAATTGTTTTATACAAATCTTTAAACATCATTACTGTCAAGGAAGTAAAACTTAAGTTTAACTACATCACGACACCATCTTTTCCTTGATTCATGAAATATCAAATAAATATCTTATCCTTAATGTACCAAGTGTTATGAGCTTTCCAAATTGCTGCTCAGCGCTCATCCCTGTATATGGTGGACAAAGATATGGATGTTGGAAGTAAAGCTGGAGCCTGATGCAATTGAGGCACAGTATCAACGTTGATTCCGAGAGCTTTCCAGGATGAAATAGTAGGCATTTAAATGTTGGCTGTTCAGACTTCAGAAATTAACATCTTTTAAACCATTTTCTTCTTATTGTTGTGTTTCCCATTTGATGATTTATATCACTACTCTGCCTTTGATGATTTATATCACTAACAAGAATAAGTTGGTACTTCGTCTTATTTTTGGGAAATAAGCTGTGTTTGTTTTTTCCATTTGGTGTTTTAGCAAGGGAATCCCCAACGAAGCTAGGATTTCTCTTCACACATTTCCACTTTTGCATCACACCAGCACCAGCACCATAAGAAAAAAAGGTAAATAAACAGAAATACAGAGAACAATTAGTTGCAGTTGCCTAGCAAAAAGATTGACATATAAATGGCGTCGCCCGGCTGCCGACTCAAAATATAAATGTAATCTATAAAGCTATGAAAACCTTTGGATGAATACACGTGTAGAAGTAATGCCCAAGTTAATGAGTTGGCGAATACCTCAAATTAAGCAAAGAATTGAATGTCATCGGCTTCCCTCGTTGCTGCTCAATGCTCATCCCTGTATATGGCCGACTATAAACTGGATGTTGGAACTTGGAACTAAAGTTAGAGACCGATGCAATTGAAGCACAATATCAACATTGGTTTCAAGAGCTATGTAGGATGACGGTGGAGGCATTGGAGCCCTACTGGAAAGAGAGTCACTGATGGCAAACAAAATGTTTACTGTTAAGGGATTAACAACATCAGCCCTTTCTTGTTATTGTTTTGTTTCCTTGTAAATTTTTGCCCTTCGACAAATACGATGATTAACACTTTGAACTTTTTGCATTGCTATCCTTCTCGACTAGAAGCATTAATTGTCAACGAAATATTGGTACCAGAGGTCACCTCTATCCTCAAACGCATCATCGTCAGCGAGCATTACCTATGAGAGCAATACTTGTATATTATGTTAATACAATATGAATTCAACATGTACTTTTATTTTTTACAGTAGTCATTTCAGAGAATTATATTCTCAGTTGATGTGATCGACACATTAGATCTTCATTCATATGAAGTGTGTCAGATAAAAATTGCCACTCCACTTTTCAGTTGTGTCATGTATGTCAACTGTATTTATAGGAAATAAATACATTTTATTCTAGTTTAAAGGATAGAGTTCTTTCTCTTTTCCTATAAAGAGGGAATCCATTCTATCATTTACTTCTCGAACAAAATTGATCAATGATTTTCTATCTAAATCAGCAGGGGTGAACAACAAATAGCCAGCTTAATCATCTCTTTTCTCGACGTCTAAACCAATGTTAACCATCACATCACTTGTTGTACATTAACTTTGACACGGTGAGCATGAATTTTTTTTTCTCATCGGAAAGAATCAGTTGGATAATAGGAAACTCTGACACAACCTCATTCTCAAACTCTAATCACCCCCAAAGCCCGACCAAAGAAAGTTTTACTTTAAGGAGAAAAAGATGAGCACATGCAGTCTTAATCCAACTCAAGATAGGATAAGATGGACACAAACGAAGGATGCAAAGTTGTAGAAGAGAGCCTGCAACCTTGATATGCAAGTACTCCAAAGAGAAGAAAAAAAAACGAGTAAAAAATATCATCCGAAGAAGGTGTCACTTCATTGAAGTACAAACGAAGTACATGCAATCCAACAACACATCAAGGAGATGCAAGACAAAGCACATACAACCTCAAATATATACAAGTTCTCATTCAACCCCATAGAAAGCTGTGTAGATAATGAGATTTTTATGTGTGATTAGTACTAGTACCCGACTAACATGAGTATAGCATGTTATAACTGTATGTAAATAAAAGGTTTAAATGTTTGTTTGTTCCTTAAAGTATATACCTTTTATCGAGTTACTTCAAAGTACAATCTCTATTGGTTTTTTTTAATGCTTGTTAGAAAAAATCTATTAATCAGAGAGTGTCACATGATAATTTCAGCTGGCTGGATTTAATAAATAGGTAAATGACGTGCTAAATCTTTTAAATTTTATTTTTGTTTACTTTAGTCCTTAAAAAGATTATTTAATATGAAATTAAACTTTATTTATTTTTAATTTTATAATTTAATTTAATATTATTTATTTATTATACTGATTCTATCTAATAAAATGATGACATATGTCATCATCTATTGGAGGAGAAATAAGAAAACAATTATGCTGACCAACAAAATCAAGCTTTAGATGTAACATTATTCACTCAGTTTTGTTGATATTTAAGGAGAGATGTGATGGTTATGGTGTCTTTTGACGAACTAACTCTTTCGATTTAAGTGAAGAGTCACTAATAAGGTTGAAGAAAGATTCGAGTATGACAGGTGTTGGAGAACAAATGATTGTTTTGATACTGAGAATAAATTAAATTCAATTAAACTAATGTAGTGGTAAATCATACAAAAAATTATAATTCAATTTTGACGTACAAAATTTATGTCCGATGGGATTTTTCTTTCTCACATTTCGTTGGCACCTAAAAAGGAACCAGCAACCTGTTTGCAGCAGCATCAATCATTATCGATTTGCCTGCCTTTCTACGTGGCGGAGACCTCTGTTACATTGGAAAGAAAAGCTATGAAGCTTAGTACAAAGGATGCTAAAAGGAGGAAAGTTCCGTATAATCCAAAAGAAACATAAAAAAGAAGGTAGCAAACTCATTTATGCATTGCTCAATTATGCATTAATTAACTCGTTTCATGTTTTCCTTAAGTTGCATTTCTACTTGATGAGGCAAATGCTTTTTTTATTATACAGAAATTGTTCCAATTTTTAATCACTTTATTAATTGGAAAAGTAATTACTAATTACACAGTCGAAATACAGACAGGCAAGCTTTTCCCTACATGTCTTGGCAATAATGCAAGGAACTAATGTCTTGGAATTATTTCATTGGCAAACTAATTTCAGACATGAAAACTTTTACTTTGGGGCAAAAAGGCCAGAGCTTTTGCCTTTAAGAATGGATGAAAACGGTACAGATTTAAGAAACAATCGTATCTGCTGAACTGCCTCAAAAAATAATAGGTGCAAGATGAGGGGGAAGCATGTGTGGTGGAGACAGAATGGTTCACGGGCCTAGACCACCTCCATCACATTCACCGACCCATACTCTTATTTTTTTAGGCTTAAATAGTGTAAGGACAAACGATCGTATCATGAGAGAAGCCACTATAAACGTGTGTTGAAAAGAGCTACGACTCCCGTTTAAGCTAGACTGGGTCCAACTTTAAATGGTTTTTGTCTTCTCCGATGGATAAATTATTCTTTTTCATCCAAAGTTCCTCTTTCCAACTTGCAATCATTTATCGTGCATGACGACATTGATGACAAAATCTGTAGAATGCTTCAAACCTTATTGCCATGTACATATGTAACATAAAGACAAATTTATAAAACACTTTATGTTCTAACAAATTATATTTAATTTTCATTAATCGAACAGAAGAAGACATCCTTTGAAAAGCATATCTTATTTGTTGTTTGTTCAGAGTTTTATACTCTTTAGAAGACAATAATTTTATGATTGATCCCTTGACAACTCATCATAATTCGTTAGAGATAAATTTGACATTTATTATCATCATAGGACTGACAGCAATCGTTCTATAACCAGAATATTTATAACTTGGGAAAAAATCAGATTCTCTCTCTATGACATCTCTTTTTCTCGTACAGTAAAACATTGAACATTCATCTATTAGTCACGATTCTTCACCCAAAATTAAAAGGAGTGAATAGTCATCTGCCTCAACAATATTGGTATTGGTCTGAAGCTTCATGTGCAAAGGAAAAGAAATCTAAGATTGGGGGTAATGGTAGGGTTTAGAAATCCTTTAGTTTCTTAGTTAATTGAGCAAAAAAAAAGTTGGGACGGTAGATATTATGGAAAATGGAAGGTGACAAAGAAATTGGAAGATTCCAAGTATATTTAACTACTTAGAGAGAGACAGGTAATAGGAACCTTCATAGAAAGCCAACACTGGACAATTTAAGCAATTCTTTCTGTCAAATTGATAACGTCTATCCACCGAATCTCCTATGGCCTATTCCATTTACAACTGCACCTTCCTGGAAACTGTTAAATTGACAACAATAATATAAACCCCCAAAAAATAATTATACCGGAACAAAAGAAGATACCAAGTAGGCCTAATAAGAAGTGCTTAAACGACCATAAAAATATGAATCAAACCGTTCATTTTGGTGAGATAGATTGAATCATACGCACTTTATAATTGTACTCCTTTTAGGCTAAAATGATTAATTTCGGTTATTGTCACATCACTCCCCAATCGAATGGTCCATGGAGAAAAACGAGCGAGAAACGATGAAACATGTCCTTATATATCCTGTTCCCCTTGGTGCAAAGTCTACCATGAACACCGTTAGTCCAATTCCTCCACACAAAAAAACTTCCTCGAGAAACCCATCATAATGGAACATAACAATATTAATGGAAGAAAAACAGCAGCAACAAGCAAGTTCGAGGATTTGTTGCCTGTGATGGCCGAAAAGCTGGACGTGGAAGCTTTTGTAGGTGAGTTATGTGGAGGGTTTCGGCTTCTAGCTGACAGGGAAAAAGGGTTGATTACGCCCGAGAGTCTGAGGAGGAATTCGGGTCTTTTGGGGATGGAAGGGATGAGCAGAGAGGAAGCTGAAGGGATGGTTAGAGAAGGCGATCTCGACGGCGATGGGGCTCTGAACCAGACTGAGTTCTGTATCCTCATGGTTAGGCTTAGCCCTGAAATGATGGAGGATGCCGAGACTTGGCTTCAGAAGGCCATTGATCAGGAGCTCAAGAATCCCTCTGCTTGATTATTTTTTTTCTTTTGACTTTTGTATTTGTTTGGGTCTGGTGCATTACGATGGTATTGTACTGCAAAAAGTTTTAATTGTTAATGAAAATGATCATTCAAATGATGCTTCCAATAGGGATCGTGCGTACGTATAGAAAGCGCCAGACTTGTTAACGATCGTTTTACTTGCACACAAGAATACTGAATTCTATCTCGCCGGTAACTCTCCGCAAAACACCATCTTCTTTGAGGTATATTTGATTACTCTTCCCCGTTCTGTGTGTAAGTTTTTGCAATGATTATTAACCAAATTGCAGATGAAGATCAATTTGTTTTTTAATCAAGATAACCATTCATCAGATCAATACCAAAATGATCAGCCCATGAACTGGAGCTCAAAATTACAACCAAGTGTTTGAGTTTGACTTAAGACCACTAAACAACAAAGAGAGAACAGGGGTTAGAAAAAGAGGTAGCAGCAGCTATTTATTGATCTTAACAAATGCATAGAGTGAGAGATACAATTTCTTTTATATAAATATGACGTAGAAGATTGTACAATTTATCACGGTTCATATATAAATTTTATTTTACATTAGTGGAAACATTTTAATCCTGAGTGAAACCATAAATGCATACATTTTTTGATTGATTTAACGTGCATAGTGAAGGAAATTATATTTTATTATCTATTATTGATTCAAACACCGTACACTCACGTAAAGTAGTAAGACGGTGAATATTATAAAAGGATATACTTGTTCAAATCAGTAGCTTTAAGTTGAAGAAAATGATAATATTACTATGTACTTCTATTGTATCTATGATTATTAATCTCACTCATTATACTCAAATTAAGTATATTGAAATTGACATTCACTTTACTTATAAGAGGGTTATTGTTGGACAACTCGTTAATCTTGTGCCTTTCATTGAACAAGTTATTGATATTCTTACCAAACTAATATCTCCTGCTTCATTTAGCCGATGGCTGTTTCAAATTTGGAGTTGTCTCTAATTCAAAAAAAATACAAAAGACCGTGAAGATGTCGTAGTGTAATATACAGGCCTGCTAAAACTGTTAGGTCATTTGGGTTGTTAATGTCCACGCTGGCTGAACGGTCAGCCTGTTCAGTAATGGGTCAGAGTATGTTAAGATTGGTCTCTAAATATTAATTTAATATGCCACTGGGCCGTAAGCTTTTGATCCGATTGTATTGAATTTCTGATCAAGTTTTGTGCAGTCCTCTTCTTTCACAGACCCTAAAGTAAACATAATGTTACTTTGTCGTTCATCGTCATCGATTATTTCTCCGATCATCGGAGTTAAACATGCGACAGCTCTAGGGTTTAATCCGCCCGATATACCACGCAGAAGTGAACAAATGCTACTGTGCTCATGTTTTGTCGGTGCAAAGCATTGGAAGGTCCACAAAGGCAAAATAGATCATTAGAAACTACACTTTTGTGTTATTCACATACGTGCTTTAATGATGCACATGGAATAATAATTCAGCACCTAAAATTAAATGTATAAAAAATGACAATTCTATAAGATGGACCACGACAGGATCTAAGAGAAAATAAAGAGAACCCATTACTGTTTCAGACTGCAAAATAATTCAATAAGGGACACCCCATTTGTTTATTCCTGTACTCTATTAATCTCATGTAGTCTTAATCATCTACATAACATTGGATGAAGTCTATACCGTCATAATTAAGGTCATCAAGGAACAAAAACCCTTCCTTTTGCAAAAGCAACACTGATTTTCATCCGGAGATGATGCCGGGAATTATGAGATCATTGTTGTGCCTGTATGTACAACTTTAAGTTTAAACACATCCCCATTAGCAAAAATAAAGTTTTTATAATTGTTGCTTTGGAAGTAAATCAATGAAAACAACAAATGGTACACAACTGATAAAGCATTAATACAGAGACAAGGACAGAACCGTATTACCTTAACTTGCTTTCTTTTTCTCTATTTTTTTACTTGCTCCCACTTCTAGAGGCCAACAACAATACCCAAATTGAAGCTTCTTATTTAATTACCACTGGCAAAGAGAAGGGGTCTTTGTCGAATTTCTTTTTCTTGGCTGGAGGAAGGAGACAAGTGAAAATGAATGAAGAGATGAACGGTGTTGAGGTGGAGAATCGCCATGGGAATGTTCCCGAGAGAATAGATTACGTGTTCAAAGTGGTGGTGATCGGTGACTCGGCTGTTGGGAAGACTCAGATTCTGTCCAGGTTTACCAAGAATGAGTTTTGCTTTGATTCCAAGTCCACCATCGGGGTAGAGTTCCAGACCAGGACTGTTACCATTCAGAGCAAAGTCATCAAAGCCCAGATCTGGGATACTGCTGGTCAAGAAAGGTTAGCTTCCTTCACCTCCTGTATCTCAGATTTCTTTAACTGCAACTCAGTTTAACTCAACTCTTTTTCTTGTGACAAAATGTTAAATTTCATCAATTTTGTACACTTTTTGAAGTGAACAAAAAACAAAGGGCAGAAACATGTGGTATTGCATCATCATCGTGAAGGTTAGGTGAAAAATAGAAACACTAATCGGATCACTTGTAGCAGTAGCAGTAGGTGGGTAGAAGAATGTTGCATATTAAACATCAAAATCTCCACTCTATTGAATATCATTCATTGTAACATAATTAGATTAATAAATTTTGAACCGGAAATAAAATTTAAAAATCTGGGAAATATTCAGTGATAATGAAAATTGATGTCATTTTAAAATGGAGGCAAGTAAGGTTACGTACTCTGCACTTGTTTATGTTTTAGTTCACTCTATACTCTTTATTAAACTAATCTTAATTTATTAATTCATAATCTTATTGTAGTTTCTAAGCTTGATTTGACATGATTTCGGTGCTTTGGCCCACCAGTAGGCATACTAGTAGGAATTTTGGGCAGCTTAAAATGCCTCTTTTTGACCATGGAAAAGAAAGGCTATAAACTATTCCAAAAATAAGAGTTTAATCCCAATCCAAAACTAGTTGGATTCCTTCATCAAATTAGGTGGACATTGATATCAAAATGAGGTTCAATGCTCGATATTAATATCCTACAATAAGGTATCGATACTCAAATTCACAAATTTAATTTTCTTAAGTCATAAGAAATTTTTAAACTCTTTCTTAAACATCAAACAATATATGTAAACATGTTTTAACATAAAAAAAGACACTCAACATGCATAAAATCTCAACATATAAGTCACATACACCATAACATCAATCCATTTGAAAATCATACAAATCATTTAACACCTTATCTTTCTCATTTAGTAATTTAGGTAGTCTTTAAATATTTATTAACATGCGTCACTACAACATGGACATTCTAAGGGTCAGTATAACATCATCAATGTTCTACTTTAACGTGCATAAATATATATATACTTGAAAGCAAGGATTTAAATAGCAATTCGTTATCCTAATAGCGTTCATTATAAAACGGTAACGGTGTCATCTGAAATTATTATTACATGATTATGATACATATAATTACCGTAATAACCCTTACTATGTCCGTAATCACGATAAATACGATCGCAATAGCAACTTAAACCCATGCTTCGAAGTCTGTATTCAAACAAAGACCGATCACAAGATGCATATTAACAAATAAAACATAAACATAATGCAACATGAGATTGATGAATTACATTATCATTAAACTTCTAATTTCACTTATAAAATTAAAGGTCTTACATGTATAGTGTAAACTTTGTATGACAAATTCATCTAACTGGTTATGTTAATGACATTGGTGCAACTAACTAAAAAAACGATAGTTTCGTATCGATTATTTGTCAAGCCAATTGTTTAACGTTTTGGCAATTTGGAGAGTAGTTACAGATCCACACTTAAGTCAAGATAGTTAATCTAAATTTTCTCTGATTAGTTATATTATTAATACATGTATTTTTATCTTCAAAAATATTTTGAAATCCACCCCTATTGATGAGGGCAGGTACCGAGCAGTTACAAGTGCGTACTATAGAGGTGCGTTAGGGGCAATGCTAGTGTACGACATCACCAAGCGGCAGAGCTTCGATCACGTGGCTAGATGGGTGGAGGAACTACGGGCTCACGCCGACAACTCCATCATCATCATGCTGATCGGGAACAAAGCCGATCTAGTGGACCACAGGGCGGTTCCAACCGAAGACGCTGTTGAGTTCGCAGAGGATCAGGGCTTGTTCTTCGCGGAGACGTCTGCTCTTAGCGGTGACAACGTGGATAAAGCGTTTTTCAAGCTGCTCCAAGAAATTTACGGTGTGCTCTGTAGAAAATCGTTGGAGTGTGGTAACGTGAAACTCAACGGTGCTGATCACGCCACGGCGTTGAAAGGGTCAAAGATTGAGGTGATCGCTGGTTCTGATTTAGAGATAAGTGAGATGAAGAAACTATCCACATGCTCTTGTTAACTTCCTTTTCAAATTAAGAGAATGTTTGGTCTTTTATTCCTTTACCCTTGTTTTATTTTATAATATCTTGAGTTGTTCATTATCAATTTTACATGTACGATATTAATATATGTTATACTTGTGATTTATAAGTATAGAGAAATAGTTTTTAAATGTGGTCTATCCTAATTTTTTAATTCAGTTACATTATTTCAGTACTCGTGTTATATAATTTATTTTAAACTATTTATCATTATTTTATTTATTAATTTAGACTGAATATTCAGAGATTTACTGTAAGAATAATCATTCAAACACAGTTTATTCCATTTATAATATAAATATTTAAACATTTAACCTTATTAAGGATGACAATGGATCAGATTTATAAAGTCTAAATCTGATCTAATTGATAATCGGACCTCCAGGCCAATTCAAATTTGAATTCAAGTCTAGATACAAACAGGGGCGGACCTCCATGGTGTCCGGGGTATCTCAGGCAACCCCTCATCCAGGAGCGGACCTCCATGGTGCCCAGGGTATCCTAAGCAACCCCTCCACAAGTGCCACCCCTAATACAAGTGACACCCCTCAATAGTGACACCCCTGGGCTCTTGCAACCCCTAAATTTTTGTCATGGATCCGCATCTAAATACAAAAATCTAATTTTGGTTCGAATAAAATAACCAAAATCGAAATCTGAAACAACATTGTTTTGGTGTCAACTCTACTTTTTCAAATAATGTTGTTTTGGTGTCGTCTCTCCTGTCATAACATCGGTAATTATTTCATTATGAGTATCAAAATAGAAGGAATTTAAAAAATAAACGAATAAATTTAAAAAAATTAAATTTTAGTGAACAAAATAAGAATGAGAGTAAAATTGAGTGAATAAATATATAATTAACCTTTGTTATTTTATAGCATATATATAATAAAAGTAATATGCTTAGTTGAGCTGTATCATATAATTTGTAATTGTGTAATTAGTAGCGAACGTGGGCATGCTCTTTAATGATGGCAGGCATAGGCAACAACAGCTACGTAAATACAGTGGGGACAGAATAGGGTGGAAACGCCAAAAAAAAATTGTTATATTTTATATCACATGTTCAATATTCATTATTGTTTTTTTATAATATTATTTTGAGTGTTGGAATTTAAATTTTTTTGATACAACTAAACATTACATTCATTATTTGTTAGTTGAATTCATTTTTGTTACACCAAATAGCGTGTTTGGTGCTTGCTTCCACCGCTCCAAGCCTCAACCGGCAATTCAGAGGATACGTAATGAGAAAATTCAGAGGATAACACAGAAACACAGCGAGGAGTGGAAATGAACATTGCTTCACCATAAGAATGAATAAATTATGTTTTCAATGTGGATGATGAAATCATCCAGGAAGGCAACGATTGATGCCTCACGAAATGCTTGCTCTTGGCATTCATTCTCCCGAAATTTATTCTGAAAGAGTAATGTGTATGTATTGCTCATTTCATCCAACATATAGGAATAATTTGGATCCTTTTTTCCATTTACAATTAACTTGCGGGCAGTTAATTAGGGTGCTTTTGTAAATGTAAATTTGATGCAACTCCAAGAAGTAGAGACAGACCCGGCCAATTCTGAGCGGAGAAAAGCTAGGACGCTTGCGGACCATGTTAGGCCACTGGTCAACCTGGAAAAGGCTGTCCATTTCACTTTTGCAGATCCAACACCATATCTTTTTCGCCAATTTCCGCACTCTTCTTTCACTCTCTACGTCAATAGCTGATTCTACGTAGAAAAAACAAAGATACAAATACCCAAAATGAAAAGAAAAAAGAGAGCAAAATATCAGCTTGCCCGCCCCATTACCCAAATTCCAAATAAGTTTAGATTAGCTAAATGTTGACTTTTATATAAAAATATTAAGGGACAGAATATTGTCTTTACCAAACTTTCGTTTTCATCTCTGATGATAAGAATCTTGGAAGTGAATCTCTTTTCATAAAAGATTAAAAAGAGGTTATATTCTATTCGAATTATAATTTTATTTTTAATTTAATTTGAGTTTAAATATAATTAAAACTTATGTAACTACTTGATATTTGATGATGAAATATACTCTTTTTTGTTTAACAGAATTAGATTCTAATTCTGTCATTGAGGTAATCTAAAAATCTAGCTGAAACTACGTAGTTAAGATTCTAATAAACAGTGACCAAAAGTTCATCGTCATCCCTCGTTTTGACGACCAATAAGATCGAAAGACTGATATTTTCTACAAGCTTTCACCCTCAACAAACCGTACAATTTCTTGAACTCCTTTCCCGCATTTATGCCTTTACAAAAAGCCCCGCTAGGTTCACCAATTTCCTCAACCGACCGCCGCCTGATATTTAAAGCCTCCCTCCCGTCACCGTCCGATTGCAATGCATTGATGACCGTTTTCAGAGCCCGGCTAGGTGAATTCCGGTTAGCGATCATTAACTCGCTAATCTCAGCCGGGCTTAAACTCGCCCCGTTTTGGAAAATCTCCTCTACTTGCGGGAACAGTTTATGATCCTTGAGCCCTAGATAACTATTGGCCAGTGTTTTAAAAGCCGTAAAATTACATAATGGGAAATGTAAATGAACATCAATCCGTCCCGGTCTAAGAATCACCGGGTCAACGAGATCTTTGCCGTTCATCGTGAAGACCATGACTCTTTCTTCGCCGCAACTGGAGGTTAAAATCCCATCCATGATACTTAAAATCTCCGATAAACTCACGGCCGTCGATTTCTCAGAAAAATACCGATCGAGATCCTCGATAACGATCAATGATTTCGTAGTGCTTTGTAACAAGAGAAATTTAAGATCGGAATCATCATAAACCTTGGACAAATCAATGTCGTAAACATCGTAACTCAAGAATTTAGCCATGGCAGCAATAAAGCTTGATTTTCCGGTACCTGAAGGACCGTAAAGGAGGTAGCTCCGTTTCCACACCCGACCCAGCCGATGATAATAATGTTTGGCCTTCAGGAAGGAGTACAGATCGGATTTGACTTTTTCTTTAAGGTCCGATTCCATGGCTAACGTTTCAAACGTCGAAGGATGCGTGAAAGGAACGGATCTCCACCGTCCCTTTCGATCATCATGTTTATCGACGACGTTCACGTAAAGCTTCAACTCTCGTTTCTTCTCATCGAAGTCATCGGAAACCATGTGGATGTGTTGGAGATAAGGCCGGAGAACTCTTCGTTTATCGGCTTTCCGAATCTTTAACACCAAAGTGTTCTCTTCGTTAATCCAGAAAAACTTGGCACCCAGAAACTCGTCCTCGAGTATTTGGTTTGGGTCGAGATGGAGGACGATTTCATTAGATTTCTTGCCGGTGAAGAGATTGGTGAAATCGGAATCTTCGATGGAAGTGAGGGAATTCAGATAAAGCAAAACTTTGTGATAAAGTTGGTTTCTCTGCATGCTTTCATTGAACTCTGGGACTTTGAAGAACTGGTAGACATGGAACCAATCTTCAATAGAACTACATTTTTTCTTGACGATATAAATCAAGCCGGTTCTGATCAAAACAACCCGAAAAAGGAAAATATAAGTTAGGAACAAAGAAAAAATTAGAAAAAATAAATTATAAACAATCGTCATTGATTCCAACAATCCAAGGCCAGAAACCTAAAGGAGGGGGATTTTAAGGGGAAATTTTCATTTTGTACGAAAGGAAGAACATATTAATTTTTGGAAAGGAATTTAAGGAAATCGAAAGGAATGACCGGATGGGGAGTTCAATAGAGGGCGAGGTGTGGCTGGTGAATTTATTTAAGGGTAAAGTTCTATTCATTATAAAATATATTATGTTTTGAATTTTATTATGAGTTTTAATCAAACATTAATTATAATGTATACATTATCAATGATTTTCAATATCTTAAAATTAAGCGTAAAATATATAAATAGTTCCGGATTATAAGATGTTGTTTTTTGTTGAGTCTTTCGACTATAGAGTGTTATTTTGTTAAATTCTATGATTATTAAAAATTAAAAAATTGTCATATGACTATTCATATGTTTCAAACTAGTCTTTTTCATTAAAAAATTAGCGATTTTCTGGAGTATACGTTAACATATTGATTGAGATATAATAAAATATGATTTCAACTGTATTTTATGGATCGACTCTCCATTTACATTATGTCATTGAGCCAATGTGTAAAACATTATGTCATCGAGTCAATGCTTAAAATCAACGATAGTGTCAGTAAACATAATTAAAATATGATTTTATCATATCGTAATAAGTATATTAACGTCTAACTCGGGCTACGAACAGATTTTTAATGGAAAATGACAAATTTGAGATATATTAATATTCAGATATCATTTTGTAAATTTTAATAGTCGAAAAATTCAATAAAATAATATCCTATAGTTGTAATTTTTAATAGTAGGAGATTCGATAAAATGATTATATATAGTGAGGAGATCATTTGTGTAATTTATCCTAAATTTAAAGAAATTATATGTTGGAGGAACTACAATCTAGGTTGTTACAAGAGAGTCAAAATGTAGTTAAATAATATTTGTTGGTGTTTGGAGATGGAAGGAGAATTCATATTTATGGCGTAGTCTACTTGTGAGCGACGACCAGAGGTAGTATATTAAATATATATAAAAATATTAATTTATATATTGGGGTCATCGTTTTATTTTGCTTGTGATCGGTCCTATCGAGGAGTTGGAGTTGAGATAGAGAGTTTGGCTTATCCCTACACGATTTGGCCACGGAAAAATAACTAATAAAATATTAATACGCATTGAATTTGAGAATTTAATTGAGAATATGAAATATCCTCCACTCCCCCCTAATATTATTGTTTTAGCTTTTTGTGGCCTTTGGTTTGCCAAAAAGCTTATTGAATTCATCCATTCCTGATGTAAAGATATAATAATACAAAGTATTAGGCATCAATATTTTTTAATTACTCCAATATTTTGTTTTTCTTTTTTATTTATTTTCAATTGTAGCTAAAACACATACCTTTTAATATATTATAATAAAAAAATCACAAATTAACTTAATTAATTTTTGTGGCCTATGGAGTGAAATCTTCGACACATGGAGAGAGAGTTGTTCCCGAAGGATCGATCCCCATTGTCACAAACCACCAACCCATGGTCGAACCCAATTATCACTTATTTTTAGTTTGTATATAAAGTAGGGCTCTCATCTTGGCAATCGATATAATATAATCTTAATCGTTGATTATAGGGGGCTCCAACTATAAAAGGAGGCTCACCCCACCTTTCATAGGTTCATTGGTTCTCTAAGAGTTCAGCCGCACACATCGACATTTTATGCAGTTTCCTCATGGCTTTTATTATTGAAGGGGATCATGTTTCGTTAACGTTCGTGAATATGTTTATTTAACATTGACAAATATATTCATTCACATATTCGTTAGTATTTGCGAACATGTTCGTTACACATTTTTTTATTATTTTATTTGCAAGTTAAAGAAAAATTATGAAGTTATGTCACTAGTCATTAAGCTCTTTAGGTTTTATTGTTTGAACTTATAATTTATGTTGTGTTTAATTTAGTCATTACGAGTTTGTTTAGTTCTGGTATGAATTAGAGTTGGATCAATTATAATTGAATTTGGGACAAGTCGAGGGAGCAAAGGGCTTGGGTGTAGTGGGAGAGATTGATTTGGTTTCCCTTGCACCTAAGCACTCCATTATTGCTTGGATGATTTTGTTGAATAGGTTACCAACGAATGATAGATCACCTGTTTGTTGCTTGTTCCTTTTTTTTTGTCGTGTTTGGGGTGGCATCTTGCAGGCGTGTAGACGACGACATAGGCGGTTGTTGTGCTGGGATGATTCTGTGCAGTGAGCTATGGAGAGTTTAAAATGGAAGTCGTTGATTGTTTGTATTCTTAAGATAACTTGGGTTGGTTTTTTGTATAATACTTGGGATGATCGGAATTATAGACAGTTTAAGTAGAGAGTTTGGACGGTGGACGATAATGTAACTGATATAAAAAATTGTTAGCATAAAGTTAAGTAAACGTTGGTTTGTAATTGTTTACAGTTTTGTTGTTACTTTAATATATATGAAGATAATCTGCTTATCTAAAAAGAACAAAAAATAGTCCTTACTTTCACTAACTTCTAAAATAAAAAAAAAATAAAGTGAATAAATAAACTTATAAATAAATCGATAAATAAATCAATAAATAAACTTATTAATGAACATAAAATATTTTTATCATATTTATTTACTTATTAAATAAATATAATTTTTTATTTGTTTATATTTATTTATTTAATTTAATAAAGAACATTATAAGGATAGTTTATTTAATAAGAGCAAATAGTCATCCACGTGCTTTTAGCGAGACTCGAGCCTAAGGATGCGTTTAGTTCACAGAATGTAAGATTACCAGTGGAAATAAAAGATTATCAGGGAATAAGATTACTGAGAATGTTGTATTTTGTGTTTGGTTGGTTTAGCAGGAATGTAAGATTATCGTGTTTGGTTAAAGGAATAAAAGATTATTGAAATGTGTATTTGATCAAATTTTCCTTATTATATATTTGTATAATATTACAAGTTGGAAAATATTTATATATTTTCTTTAAAAAATTTAAATTCATAAAATTTATATAATTTTTTTACAAAATTAAAAATATAAAAAAGTTTAATGAAAGGGTAAAATTTATTTTAACCCCTGAACTTTATATAAAATTTTAATTATAGACTTTTTTATATAAAATTTCTTTATATAATTTTATATTTTATATAAAATTGAAAATATAATTTTTTTTAAATGAAGACTAGAGATCTCCTGTTTGCTGCTTGTTCTTTTTTTTTTTTGTCGTGTTTGGGGTGGCATCTTGCAGGCATGTAGACGACGACATAGGCGGTTGTTGTGCTGGGATGATTTTGTGCAATGAGCTATGGAGAGTTTAAAAGGGAAGTCGTTAATTGTTTGTGTTCTTAAGATAGCTTGGGTTGCTTTTTTGTATTATATTTAGGATGAGCGGAATTATAGACAGTTTAAGTGGAGAGTTTGGACGGTGGACGATATTGTAACTGATTTTGTAATTGTTTACAGTTTTGTTGTTACTTTAATATATATGAAGAAAATCTGCTTATCTAAAAAGAACAAAAAAATAGTCATTACTTTCACTAATTTTTAAAATATGCAAAATAAAAAGAAAAATAAAATGAATAAATAAACTTATAAAATAAATCAATAAATTAATCCATAAATAAACTTATTTGTGAACATAAAAATATTTTCATCATATTTATTTACTTATTAAATAAACATTAACTTTTTATTTTTTTATATTTATTTAATTATTTAATTTAATAAACAACATTATAAGGATAGTTTATTCAATGCTCTCTATTCATTTATACCCGGAGTCCAACAAGAGCAAATAGTCATCCACGTGCTTTTAGCGAGAGGGATCTGGACTCGAGGCCTAAAAGGTCAATTGGTGGGACCCCTTTTTAAAATCAAAAGCAAATCAGAGCAAACCACGTCACAATGCAAAATACATCTTGGATCCCTTCTTTTCCTACAGCTTCGTTGTCATACAGTTTCCTCTTTCTTAACTCTCTGCCCGGCTCTCCTGGAAGACAGAGTTAGAGAGCATGGCAGCCACACTCAGCCTACTCAAATCCCCCATTTTACCTCAAAACTCACACCATATCCAATCCAAATTCCCACTCCTTTCAAGCCCCCACAAAGCAAAACATCCGCAATGACCCGGTTAACCCTCCAAAACTCTTCACCGAAACCTTTCGTCCCCTGAAATCGGCTTCTCTTCCCCTTACTACCATCGTATTGCCCTTCTTCTTTGACATACAGGTGAAAAAATGCGATCCTCTGGATTTTTTCCCTTTTGGAATGTCCTTTGATGTCATTTTTTCCAATGAATAACAGGATGCTCTTGCTGTAAATGGAGAGTTTGGGATTCTGGAGGGAAGAAGTGTTGCACTTATACACCCCATTGTCATGGCCTCATGGGTGGTCTGTTCTTTTACACTTTGTGGGCTGGCTACTTGGGTTGGCAATGGAGGCGAGTCAGGACCATCCAAAATGAGATTAATGAGCTCAAGAAACAAGAGAAGCCCGCTGCTGTTACCCCAGAAGGGAAACCAGTGGAAGCAGCCCCGTCTCCCGTGGAACTCGAAATTCAGAAGTTCACTGAGGTTTGCTTCATTTCAACTCAACTTTTATACAGTTCTAACTTGCATATCATCCCAATATTTGAGCATGAAGCCAAGATTTCATATCCCGATTTCCGGCAATGTGATATTCAATGATTTCTCTATAATTGTAGTTGACGTTAATTTACAAGGGTTTAGACTTTGGGGTGCAACTCAATCCTACATCCTCTAGAAGAGTTCACGATTAGAGACACGTTTTACATTATAAAAGTTGTCTTTTGGAGTTACAATTCTTACTTCATAACACTATAAAACTCTTACATAATTATGTTAGGTAATTTTAACTAGTTCTACTTAGAGTTTGGAGGGCTTTCCGGCTTTGTGGGGGCAAGTTCTCTACATGCCTCAAGCCCAATGCTACTTATATACACAGTAATTCGATTGGTATAGTTTCTTTGGTTCGTTTAATAGGAATGAAATATGATTGATTGGGATGTAAAACGTTCTTTGGAACTTATGTATATATAGTTTTTGTGTTTATATAAATACGCAGTTCTAAATGAATCAATTCTTAAGTTTGTGAATTGTTTGTTTTACTCATTAGTTTTATAATAAATTGTATGCTAATTGGATCGCTAGTGCTCCCTGATTCGGGTCGTATGTACTAATTTGAAAATCACTAGGAAGATAGCAATTTTTAGTAACACAGCTCAAGCCATCTAACCTAAAAGGGGTAAAACTATCTGGCAATATGTAGACATGCTCAACTTCAATTCACTGATATGGAATAACTCTACTTAAATAACATAGTTCTTTCGGAAATCATGTAACATTTGTAATCTTGCAGGAGAGGAAGGAGTTGGTGAAAGGGTCTTACAGGGATAGACACTTCAATGCTGGATCAATACTGCTAGGTTTTGGGGTTCTTGAGTCTGTTGGTGGAGGTCTCAACACATGGTTTAGGACAGGAAAGCTTTTCCCAGGTCCCCATTTGTTTGCTGGAGCAGGTACACCTTTTGATTCTGATCTCTCTTTCAGAAAATAGGAATTCAAAATTGATTTAGCTGACCTCAATATTTGAAGTGTGTAGGAAGTGACTCCACCTTTCTGTCTTGGTGTTTATTTTGCAGCTATTACGGTGCTATGGGCCTCAGCTGCAGCGTTAGTACCTGCAATGCAGAAAGGGAGCGAGACTGCAAGGAGTCTTCACATTGCCTCGAATGCAGTTAATGTTATTCTTTTTATCTGGCAAATCCCCACAGGTATAGAAATAGTTCTCAAAGTTTTCGAGTTCACTAAATGGCCTTGATCTTGTCTGGTACTGTGTTTATTTTCTCTGCTTAGGAGTTTGTATCATCAAAAACTCGCCCATCAAGCATATAATGAATACGTCAGAGCAGTTATGATTCTTGCGCTTCAATCTTTAATACGAAACCAATAAATTGTGCTTCATTCCCCACGTTGAAATTTCATGGAATAAATACCAGCATGCTTATTCGGTACTTGGATCCCGCAAAGGCACCTAATCACATGATTGAAATGCTTAAATGCACTGAGCAATAGCACGAGTCGATACCGAGAATTCGTATATGAACAAACTATATTGCTGAAGCTTGTTATTATTTGCACATGCAGACTCCATGGGAATAGAATAGAGAGTTGACATTTAACCTGCAGATTCAAGTATTTTCTGTAGTACAAGTTCTTATACTGAACTTTAGTTGTAGGATTATACTTTTATGTTGGCTTAGTAAATTCTACGTTTCGTCTTCTACAATAGAAGAAAATAAAGAGTGATATTCCAAGGTCCCACCATGAGAAATCGTTTGCTTTCTTTTGAGACAATTGGTAAAGAAAAAGAGTCGGTGTTTCCGACAGGAAAGAGACTGAGAGTACCCTCTAGTGTTGTTAGAAAATGAGGTCAAACAAAATAAAAGAAGAACCAGCCGTGGAAATGTGTTCTTAAGTAATGTCCGCAAGCAAAGTCAGAGGGAAGAAACAGACAGCAACGGTATCAAATTTCTCCTGCAATTGCAAGAATCTTTCTTAAGAGCTACCTGTGGGACAAAAATATTCGTTGAAGAAGTTTTTTTTTTTTGGTTAAGAATATATATGTTAAGTGCAGGAATTAATATGCCAGCCAGCTCATTCATACAAAAGCAGCGGTTGCAGTGATCCTGGGACAACAAAAGAGAGTCGTCATTGAAAACAGTGGGCTATACTTGTTGGACAAATGCGCTAGAAAACAATTAGGGTAAACTACACCATTAGTCATTTAACTTTAGTATGTATATCGATTTTAGCATTGAACTTCAAAATGCTTCAATTTTAGCATTGAACTTTAGTGTGTGTTTCAATTAGCGTATTGGACCATAAAGCCATTAACAATCAGATGACGTGATAATTTAATGTTGATGTAGAAGCTGGCTTGTGTTGTTGTAGAAGTTATTTTTTTTATTTCACCTCATCATATTCTTCTTCAAAATTAGATTTTTCCACGTATTTTTAGTTGCCTCTGAAAGTTGTCATTCTTCAGTGTCTTTTGTGATCATCCTAGACACTTGAACTCATCTTATTGCCCTTTATCATTTTATCAATTTATTTTTTTTCTTCAAAATCTCTTTAAAACTCGCAAAATAAAAAATAAAAATTCTTCATTTTGGGAGCTTATGGCTTTCTCAAATTTGAAGTATTTGTTCAAAACTTCAAATCGCGAGAAACATTCATTTGAGAGTAAGAATATCATACATAGAAACTAGTCTCATTAAATGGTCGTCGGATGAGATCAGTGTATTAAAATGTTAAAGCTTTAGATGAATTTTTATCGATTTTGAGTGAGTTTCATGAAAACTAATTTGAAGAGAAGAAAAAAATAGTGAAATACGAACATTTTGGTATCATTATTATTACGAATGATGATTGATGACCAGTGACGATTGTCTAACAGTGAAAATTTAAGGAATTGACGATTATCTATAGAAAAATAGGGAAGAAACGACCATATCATCACGTACTTAATGGTTTAACGACCCAATACCTCAATTGAATCACAAATTAAAGTTCAATGTTAAAATTGAAACGTTTTGAATATCAGTTCTAAAATCAATGCATAATCTTAAATTTAGTGACTAATGGTGTAGTTTACCCAAATAAAACTAAGTGCAATAACAAAGGAGTAAACTAAAATATAATAAAAATAAACTTCCATGAATTCCACGACCCCTATTCAAGAATATTTTCCATTTGTGCAAGGAATGGAATTAAAATTGCCTTGTTGGGTGAGAACGGTCCAATCCAATAGGATTCCAGACTTGAAAGCCTATGGTTAATGTTTCATACAAAATGATCTGTAAAATTACTGCAAACAAATTCCTTTTGCACGTTGTTAAACATGAGATTAAAGGGGTAAATAGCAACCATACAATATAAGGCATCGGCAGAGGATTCTGCTGAAAATGCAGTTTTATGAATTCAATGACAAAGGACGATCTTGTAAATTACTCAATTTGATACCTACCGTAAGATGATAACTTTTGTCAGGCTGTCAGCTGTTATGTGTACAGTTTTGGATGCCTTGGAGTTTTATCTCGTGGGATCCTTTACTTTTTTGTCATTTTATTCTTCAACCTAGATCGCTATATAACAACATTTCTGGTACTCTTTTATGTGTATCCATTCGTTCGACATTTCTAGTTCGTAGCATTCGATATCTTTTTTCAGACTGTCAATTATGTCGAACCAACAGGCCCCAACTCGTCCATGGTTTCGTTTAGCGTCCATTTCAAGGCCAACACCTCAAGCACCTACTCCAACACCTGAACCAGCTCCAGCAATGCCACGATCGACCACGATTCGACCTGCATTTCGACCTACGGGAGGTGCTTCCTCCGTTCCGACATCACCTGTGTCTGTTGGTAGAGGATCTCAGCCGTCTTCTCCTGCCAAAAGTCCTACGACTGAAGTTAGTTCTACAACTGCTTCGGTGCCCAATTCCGCGGTGAAAGCGGCTCCAACTGCAGCGAGGTCACCTGTTTCTCCACCGAAACCGGCGAAAACTTCGTCATTGCCTTCTTCTCCAGCCAAGCCAATGGCAACTACTGCCTCTGTTCCCTCTTCTCCAGCCAAGCAAGTGGCGACAACTACATTCTCGGTTCCAACTTCACCAGCCAAGACAGCCCCAACTACAACATCGGTGACTAACTTTACGACCACTACGAATCGTGTGGCTAGCCCTCAAGCATCGACAGTCAAACCTGCCATGCAATCTCCAATTCAATCATCAAAGATCAAACCACCAACTGCTCCACCACCTTCTCCTTTGACTCTCCCACCTCCCCAGGTGAGAGCTCAAGCTGATCTCGAACCCAAGATCCCTGTCGAGGCAGAGAAAAAGACTGTGCTCGTTCAAGAGATGATCGACAAGCCCAAGGGGCTTTTCGGTGCCCCTCAAAAGGATACCGATGACACTCGCTACCCTAGCATTCATGGACAGAGGGAACCGTCCAAGCATGGGGAAATGAAGGAGAAAGGCAATGGCAAGAAGTTGTCTTCGGATTCGGAGGATTCTGGTATGAGGGTCATAACAATCGCTGGTGAGAATAAAGGTGCTTTCATGGAGCTAATCAAATCACCCCACAGAAATGGTTTCCAGGGAAGTCCTCACCGCCTCCAGAAGCCGGTGACCGGCAGCAGTGACGGAAGCGTGTACCATAGCTACAGCAGCAGCGGCGAGGAAGGCGATCTCAAGATGGAGGGCAAGAGCAACGGATCGAACACTGCGCCAATGAATGCGTTCATGAACAGCAATGTGCAAGGCGTTAACAACTCGATCGTCTATAATTCTTCATGCACTCACCATGACCCCGGTGTGAACCTTTCTCTCCACATAAAACCAAATGCCGGCGGACTCCATTTCAAGGAACGCACCAACGGCTACAACAGCTAAAGAAAAAACAAAGCATCAAGTGGATTTTAATTATCTTGGTTTGTTTTAATTAAATTTAGTTATAGGATACTTGTTTTTGAGAATAAACAATAATATGCTAATTGGCTCATGAATTCGGATTCTTCAATACCATTCGTGGTGCCTAATTGAAGACGTTCCATGTTCAGGCCTTTTAGTATGGAGAACTATGAGAGGATAGTATGCTAAATTCCGACTGCAATAAAAATGAAGCATCATACCATTGTGTTTGCAACTCACCAATTGGGGCCTCATATATCCTTCAATTTTAGTCAAACATTGAACCTTAACCATTGAATTTAAGAATCTTAACATTTTCAATAACTTTACTTGTTACCCCTCCGGAAACTACCAGCTCTTCGTTCGTGAGAGGAGACCCTTAAAAATCTATATGGTCACCCGGGCCTCATAGGAACCTTTTTCCTCCAACACTAGTCTTCAAGATGACTACAGTACATGGATAAAATCACTAACAGACCCACATGACATTCTAGAACAAAAATCTAAGGTTTGACTATCAAATCTATCTAATCCGTCTACAATTAGTCACCATCAAGGCCGGTTCTGACTTTTTCTTGGCCCGGGGCAAAATTAAAAAAATGGGCCCTAATTTAAAAGAATATTAAAAAATATGCAATACAAAATTTTAATTAATTTATTATTAAATTAAATAAATATTAATTCATTACAATATCAAAAATGTCAAAAACATATTTAACCGTATAAATACTTATAAAAAACATTGCCTTCGAGCATTTCTTGATGCAAATCATTGATGATAGTGTCAACATCAATGCTTTCCAACATATTTTTCTCAATATATAACATAGCTAGCTCATTCAATATTTTTTGTGACATTGTTGACCTCAAGTAATTCTTTAATAATTTCAATTTTGAAAACTTTTTTCTCGGATGCTACCGTTACCGGCATTGTTAATAAGATTCGATAAGCAATTGAAACATTAGGATAACAATCTCTAGCTTTAACAAACTCAAGAACTTCAAGCGTTAACATGAATACATTTGGCAAAGTCAATTGCAACACTTTCATTTCAGAAAAAAATCATCTGCATCAACATCCAACAAATTATTATGAGAAAAAATAAACTTAAAATTATTGCAACATTCTTTTACTTTATTGTCATCCAATGACTTCAACCTTGTAGAATCAATTAAAAATCCAAAATAATTTTCAAAAATCTTTAATTGCCCAAATCTATCTTTCAAAGAATCGACTGTCATATCAACAACAACAACAAAATAATTAACTTTAAAAGACTCATCTACTGATTGCATTTCTTCATCATGGTCATTCTCATCAAATTGTCTTTTTCTAAAAATATGACGCTTAGTCAGAAAAATTGGCTCTATGTTCATATCTAATACAAGACTTTTACAATATCTATACTAACTTCGAACCCTTATTTCTATAGTTTTCAAAATATGACATTACACCTTCCAACTCCTTTATGGTAGTATCAATGCACATTGATTTAGATTGTAATTTCTTACTTACCGTGTTGATAGCAAATAAAATATCATACCAGATAACCATTCCAAGTAAGAATTCAAAACTTTGAAGGGCACTAGCTAAACTTTCTGCTTCACTTTTTGCTTTTGCATCATTACCACAATATTCATATAATTGTAACAAACCTAACCTTATTTTAGGAGCATGTCATTTAATAGCTTTGACACTTTTAATTCGACTTTCCCATTGAGTATCAGATAAAGATTTTACAGTTTCCGGAACATTATCACATAAAATTTTCCACCTTTTGGTAGAACTTGCGAACAATGAATGTATACGTTGCACCTGTAAATGGGAAGATCCTCGATCGAAGTATTTATATGCCAAATTCGCAACACCGTAATGATTGAACTTAGAAGGAAGATGAAGTCTATGCATATCCACGTTTGACATTTCATATCCAAAATTTATGAAACAAAAAAAAAGAATAAGTTTATCTATAATTTAGAAAAATATAAAAAGAAAAAAGAAAAAGAATTTGGAAACACGAACTTACTTAGGATTTTAAAAATATCTTCAATGACCACAATTGATGATAAGTAATTGTGATTTTGTGTTTGTGAATTGTGAGAAATATGAGAAATTAAAAATTGAGAACAATAAGAAATAAATAAATTTTACTTCAATGTTCTCCTATCATTTATATGAAATAAAAAGTAATCGTTATAAACATTATGGTTAATTTAGTTTTTAGCGATATGATGAGAACAATAAGTCAATAAGAAATAAGTTTATGGGTCTTACTTCTAATTTAGTTTATTAATATTTATGAGCTCTGCTTTTAATTTAGTATATTAATATAGTTTTTAACATTATGATGAGAATAATAAATTAATAAAAAATAAGTTCATGGGTCCTCTTGCATTAATATAAAAAATAGTATATTAATATTTATGAGTCCTATTTTTAATTTAATCTATTAAAATATGATAAATTAATATAAATTAAAATTATGGCCCTGGGCAGGTGCCCCTCTTGCCCCTGCCCAGAGCCGGCCCTGGTCACCATTACTCTATGGTTGACATCACCGGACTAAGATCACTATAAGTCTAAAGATATCACCAAAACTAATAAAGGGACCGGACATTTCGCAACCCATAGACCATATCTCCTTCATGTTCTTTAATGTGACCGACTCTCTCTCACAAAAAATGTAGATCACGACTCTATACTTAAATTAAAAGTAATTAATTACTAATGACCGACGAGATAAACTAATTTCCATCAACATTACTATTTCATATTTAATTGGCTCAAACATACGTTATTAAAACCAAGTTCCTTCACGATGTGGGAATTTTCTTCTCATGCAAAACGGTACATTAAAGACGATGAGTGACAGAGACATTTCAGCTTTCTTTTATACTTAACTATTATCTTTAGAGGACCATCCACAACACTCGCTCCAAAAGAAAGATGGGTAACAATTGTCATTTCACCAACATGAATAAGTTCCATGAATGCTTTTCAACTGAAGGGCTTCTTATTTTGTACGCCTTTGATTCCCCCATCTTCCGATTGGATGAAACAGATTGTGCGTGCATTCGAATATTTCGAGCCTCTAAGTAAATTATTAAGATAAAACCACGGAGGTCACTTTATAGATTTACGAATAAGAGTCTTGAATATATGGCCCAAGGTGACTTCTTACCAGTGGTGGATCTAATAGTATTGGATTGGATGCTTATTTGGGCTTTCATTTTTATAAATTAGAAAGATCAAACTTGATAAACTAAAATAAAAAGACTAAAATTCTCAAATTTCACCTAACCAATTAATTATTTTAGTCCACTATATAAAAGGGGTTCTATAAATTATAAGTGCACACAAAACATGATTTGGGTAGGACAACACATGCAAGTGTGTGCTAAAAAAGTTCATTGTTATATATTAAATATTAGGGAAACTGGATTATTAACGAATCAACAATAATTGCTGGCCTATGATTAATCATCAAGGGACGGTATCATGTTGATTTCAAGGTTCAAATCATGGGAAGGAAAGACTAATTATACATTGGAACCCCTGGGAAAATGGAGGATGATTTTGTTTGCTCTTAACGCATATTCTCTGTATGTTTTTATAGCACAATTTCTTTCTTTCTTTTCGAAGTTAAATTTCACGTCAATTTTTCAGTTGACGTTTATTTGATTATCTTGTTGGTCTTTCCCCTACTTTGGACTATCAATTTGGTTCTCTTTCATTGTTAACCGTTCATAATCATCAAAGATACGTCACTATTGAGTCGATTACATGTACTTTTATATTAGTCTTGATGGAGCTTTCCAGAAAGAGTTAATATGACACAAGAATTTCATCGTTGACAGTGATGATTGTTTGTACGTATAATTTTTTGGATAGTTTCGAACACTTTCCTTATATGGTTTAAATTTATTCTTTAATGAAATCTGTGCACTTTAATGATTTTAGAGGAAATATCTGATGTTAATCCTACAAAACTTTAGTTTTATAATTATTTTTGGTAATTTTATTATATTTCTTCTTCATTCAACAAAACCAACTATTATTATTAGTTAAAAAAAATCATCAAGGAGCAACCAACTGGAAAAAATCAAAGAGATGAAGCCAATAGTATATATGTGGTCTCCCACCGTTTTGATTTTATTAAAAATAATGGCTAGTGGTATAGCCTGACTGCGGGAGTATCCCATGGTGGAATTGATATGGGTAATGGTGCCTCAGAATAAAACACCCAAAAGAATGTGCAATTGGTGTTGGAATATGTAAAGTGGATCCCTACTGAATTCCTTAAGGAAAAAAATAAGCCAATGGAATGAAGAATTGATCCACCAGATTTGGCCTAATTGTACCAATGTTTAAAGTGGGAGTTGGAGTGCATGTGCGTTAGATATGTTAATAATTGACAGTACAAGCTCTCCGGAATTTCCGGTCCTCCTTCATCCTTCAACATGTATTCTCCACCTATAATAATAAAGCAAACGATTCTTCAACAGGATTTTGCCATTTCATCTCTCCAATAATGACAAGTATTCACAGCTAGATAAATTGGGCTAACATTTATCTCCCCGAAATGAACTTCAATGTGTGTAAACTCGATGCTGCTCGGTACTTCTGCAAGAATCAATAATAGAACTAGAATTAATATTAAGAGAATTAAATTATACAATTTTAAAAATTCAAAAATTATATTTAAGGGTGTAAATGAGTAGAACGTTCGATAAAATTATTCGTGAGTTGTTCGTATAACGTTTGTTTATTAAGCTAAATAAATGAGTATGAATAATATTTTTATGTTCATTTAATGAACTAATGAACACGAACAAATGTATCTTCGTTTATGTTTACGAACAAACTGTAGAAAGTAAAAAATAATAATAATAAATGGGTGCACCGAAAGGTGCAATTAAGGCACTGAAAATTAGGTGCATAATTTTTTATTTTTTTATATGGTCAAATTACAAACTCTAGT